CTCCCTCAAATTTAATAAGAATATTAAGAGTATTGTGAATGTTTGTTTTGTTTCAGTAAGAGTTTTACGGCTCTCGCAACTGTGTAAGGTCATATGAGCGCGCGCAAAAAAAGGTTGGTTCTATTCGCAACATGTTAAAAGCACACTGCACAGCCCGACTCTGGTCAACGCCTCTACTAAAATGCTAAAATGTGATGTAGATAAATTAATTTAAAACAACTTTTTAAATAACGTTAAAAATTTTAAACATTCTATTCACAATTTTCCATAAAGGCCAATGGCCTTTACAAAATCAAGAACTCTGTTGGGATCAACGACGGAAAACGGGTCTTGAAATTTTTTGCATGTAAAAGTTTTCCTTCCGGTCTCTCCGAAGTCTAGACATTCTGTTAAAATGTGTTTAATGGTAAAATCTGTGTTGCATCCGACACAGAACGGCTTCTCATCTCCCTGGAGGAAGTATTTATGTTTCAGGGACGTGTGTCCGATGCGTAATCGAGTAAGAATGACTTCGTCTCTTCTGGAGAGACCCGAAGGATTTCGCGGACCTAGTTTGGGCTTGATGTTGTGTAGTTTATCGTTTTCTTGGTTTTTTTCAATGAGTCTCCCGCAGACTGGAGGTGTAGTTTTTGACACATTCTTAAAGCCAGTCTGTGGGAGAGTGTTCGTCGTTGATCCCAACAAAAGGGATAGTGATTCCTTTGCCAGGAGGTCCACTTGCTCATTTCCTCGGATGCCCACATGGCTAGGTAGCCATGCGAACACGATACGTTTCCCGGTTTCAGACAAAGCGTGTATATATATTTTTGTTGTTGCAACTTTAACTATTTTTGGGTGTAGGTGCGTGTAGTGTGTAAGTGAGGTGATGCAAGACCGAGAGTCAGATAGGATCAGGAAAGATTTGTTAGGAGAATTTTCTACAGAGTCCAGTGACGCCATATCAATGACAGCGGCCTCCGCAGAGAAAATGGAGGCTTCAGGATGGAGTCTCCTCTGGTGTGTACTGTTTGAGGATACAACAGCGGCGACCACAACGGAGTCCGATTTAGAGCAATCTGTGAAGATTAGCTCCACACCGGGGTATTTTTCGAAAAAAAAATTGTATTCTGCTTTAAATGTTTTGGTGTTTGTGTTTGCTTTGGTGTGTGTGGTCAGCTGTAAGTCTACTTTTGCCTAGGTGAGGTGCCATGGAGGGAGTTCGGTAAAAAGAAATTGTTGGATGTCTTGATTGGAAAATAAATTATTTTTTAAGGTCCTCAGGGATTCTGAGGCCGAAGTTTTTTATGAGCTTTTCGTTATTTTGGAAACTGTTTATGGTTTCTGGGTTTGTTCTGAAAACACAGTCGTGTGCTGGTTTCTCTGGTGTTGAGCTTTGTTTAATTGCGTATTGTAGTGAGAGTTGTGTGCGTCTGAGTGTGAGTGATGGTATGTTTGCTTCCGCCTGGAGGCTCTCCACCGGGGAAGTGCGGAAAGCCCCTAGAGCGAGGCGGAGTCCTTGGTTTTGCACCGGGTCTAGCATCTTCAGGTCGTGGGGTTTTGCCGATCCATAGACTTGACAGCTGTAGTTAAGCCTGGATCGGACAAGGGAGATGTACAAGTGGAGAGGGTGTTTTGAGTCCCCGCCCCACTCCGGATGAGATAACATTTTCAAAGCGTTTGACGTTTTCTGGCACCTCACTCGAATGTGTGTAGTATGAATGTGAGTTTTTTGTCGAATATAACGCCGAGGAAACGAGCCTGGTCCTGGACGGGAATCCTTTCCTCGTGTAGCGTCAAATCCGGTTGCAGCACACGTCTGCCTGATCGGCAGAAGTGTACTACAACCGTCTTTGACGAGGAAAACTTGAAGCCATTATTATTTGCCCACTTTTCAAGTTTGTGCATCTGCATTTGCAGCTGCCTTTCCATAGATCTTAGTAGAGGGTTTTTCGAACGGCAGCATATCAAGAAGCCGTAAACATATAATGAGCTGTCTATGCTATTTTGGAGGGTCTTAACATTGGAATCTATTTTGATTTCGAATAGGAGAGGAGAAAGGAAGCTTCCCTGGGGGAACACCTTCCTCCTGTTGGTGGGGGTCTCAAAAGGAGCATCCGACACGAACCTGGAAGGAACAGTTCTTCAGAAAATTGCCAATGAAGGCAGGGAGGTGACCGCACATGCCGAGAGCGCGCAGGTCTCTGAGAATGCCGTACTTCCAGGTTGTGTCGAAGGCTTTTTCTGGGTAAAATAAGACGGCAATCATGTGACCTCTTTTGAGTATAAAGGTCTCCAGGCGGACCAGATGATCCAGAGTGGATGGAGTTTTCCTAAATCCGCACTGGAGACCGCTTAGCGAGCTTGTTGCTCGTGAATCATTTTTTCTGTAAGTTGCACAGACAGCTCGTTGGTGCTATTGGTCCGTAATTGGATGGGTGAGTGTGGTCTTTGTTAGGTTTAGGTATTGGAATGACAGTGACGAGACGCCAAGACTCCGGAAAGGAGTGCGACCGCCACATATCGTTGTATATGTCTAGTAGGAGTGTAAGTGTCTAATGATCTGGTTGTGGATGTCATCCGGTCCTGGGGCTGTATTGCCCAAGTCCGAGATGTACGATGTTAGTTCGTCTAGTGTGAAGTCTGTGTTGTAGGTTTCATTGTTGTTTTAGTGGAAGTTTAGGTGTTGTTGTTCTCTGTTAGTTTTGATGTTTTGGGAGGTGGTGTTGTAGTTTGCTTTGGATTAGTGTTGGAGAGAGATATAGCTATTGTGTTTGTGGTGTCTACCTGTGTTTCAGCTGTGATTCCATCTGGCCTCTGGGCGTGCTGGATGGTGTCTGTGCGTCTACCCAAAAATGCTTTAGCAATTTTAAAACTTGGTTGGGTGGTGTCTGGCTGTTGATTTTTCGAGATGATGTATTTTCTGAAAGATTGTCTTTACCTCTCTCTCAGAGTAAAATGTATAGTAAATGCACTGAGAAAAATGGCCACCAAAGTTTGGTAAATTCAATATCTCGAGAGTCCTTGAAAACTGTAAAATTACATATTTTGTGTCTTTAATCAACGTTTTTACAGCAACATTCAAATGGAAACATTTTTAAATATGGACATACAAGGTGCTGAGTCAAAAAACAAAAAATTGATAAAACTTCACAAACTGGCAGAAAAATGTGTTTCTTCCGTTTCATTATTTTGACGAGCGCCTGATTTCACCACAATGCCTCGCCATGATTTGATCATTCTTTTTTTCGGCACACTCTCAATCATGACGACGAGGAGCTGTCAAGTAGAAATGACATTTTCCCCCAACAGTCCAAATGACGTCATTATCGTCACCGAGGTGGAACCTTTCAAAGCTCTCATCACCATCTTCGGCTTCATAAATCAGGTCGCTGATGATTTCTGCTATGGGTATCTCATCAGCTCTGTCCTCATCGGGGAATCCAACGGTTCCACGGAGGGAAACCTTCACTCGGAAATCGGCTGAAAGAGAACCACAAAAAATATCTTTAAAATACATTAATAGTGATAGAAGTTGTTTAGTTTTAGTAAGAGTGTTACAGCACTTGCAACACAGTAAGGTCATATGAGTGCCGAAGATTAGAGGTGTTACAAGAGAGTAACAAACATAAGAAAAAGGATGAGAGATCAGGACGATAGATGTTTGAAGGGAAAAAAGGAGCAAACAACACAAGAGCACCCGCCAACCACTCACAGTTGATAGAAGTTGGTTTCGTTTTAGACCTAGTAAGAGATTTATCACACTTGCAACAAATTAGGTCATAACACAGGTTCCGAAGACATGAGGTGATACTAGATAGTAACGTAACAAGAGAAAGAGGCAAAACGACAGACAGAGAAGACGAGAGACCGAGAGATGGCGAGGAAGTGTAAGAGGGGAGCCTCTTTAACAGTGACCGATAGATAGATAGATAGATAGATAGATAGATAGATAGATAGATAGATAGATAGATAGAAGATAGATAGATAGATAGATAATGAAAGAACATTTGATCAAGTGAGTTAAAGAGCGTTAGGGAAAAATTGTCTCGATCCTACCTTCACATTCCGCCTCCTTCAGACGCACGCAGGTCCCTCCTTGGTTTCTGTCTGTTTCCAGAATTGGCTTTGCGGACGGCCCCACAATATAACTGTATTCTGCTTTCGCAACGTTCAGTTCGAAATCTTGGGCAAGGTCAGAAACGGGCCCTGTGATCTTCAGAATGCCTTCCTTCCCCAACCCTGGAAAAAAAAATCTTCATTAGAATCTACTTACTTTTTACTTTTACTTTTTCATCCTCTGTTGCCGTTAAGTGTTGAGGGGAGAATCAGTTTTCTATGGTAGGCCAGCTTCGCAGCTCTTTCAAATCTTCAATATTGTGAATAAATACATATTTTTTGTTCTTCTTATAAATAACTAATACAATGCATTTATTTAGCGTATATTGCCGCGTTACAGAAACCCAATGCGCTTTACAATCTATATTACTATTACCACCCCAGCAGACCGTAGAACACTCAGAAAATTTCTCTCCTACCCTTGAAGCACACAGTGGAAGTAGCCGACTATGCGCGCAAGCACTAACAAACTGACACGATGTTTTCGCGGTCTTAAGCAGGGTACCCATTCTCACCTGGGTGAAGTGAGGAAAATTCGTGTAAACTGACTTTTTCAAGAACACAATGATGGACGTCTGACAAGATTCAAACCCACGACCATGAGGTTGGGAGACCAATAGCCTTACCACCAGACCGCCAACGCCGCAAAAGATTAGCACTCACCTCCGAATCTGCTTAGCGTACATCAGAAATTTAATGCACTTTCGCTTGAAATGTGTTGGCATAGCTACACAGTTCCCGACAAATGAGCTCAGGCCTAACACTCACGGAAAAAAGCTGCTCAGAGTAAATATCTTTTAAATGTTATTTTCTATAGTAAACTAGCAAAGTTTAAAGTTTTGTTTTTAAAAAAAGGGGGGGATGGGGGGACCAAAAGAAAAAACAGAACAAAAAACCCCCAACCTCCATCAACCCCAACCCCCTCACTCACACACGCGCGCTCGCCCAAAACCGAAAGCAAAAGAAAAACATTTGTATGCCCATTAACAAACTTGCAAAAGAATGGCGTTGAAATTCACCCATCCCTCCCCCTCCCCCAAACTACAACCAGTGTCTTGCCCAAAGACATATCCCAGTGTCCTCCGCAAAGACATATCCCAGTGTCCTCCTCAAAGACATATCCCAGTGTCCTCCTCAAAGACATATCCCAGTGTCCTCCTCAAAGACATATCCCAGTGTCCTCCTCAAAGACATATCCTAGTGTCCTCCTCAAATACATATCCCAGTGTCTTGCTAATGGACGCACCCTAGTTACTCACTAAAGGACATATCAGTAAACTTTTATCAATTTTTTTTTCGGGGGGGGGGATCGACACCTTTTACGTCTCTTAAAAAACACATTTCTTAATGGATTTTACCTAATAAAAAAACTCGTTAATCAAAGGCTCAAGCAATGTAAATTTGCAGTTTCCATGGATAAACGGTCGCTTTTAAGGACAGGCGGGATAACCCACATTTCGGTGGTTTCCAGAAATCTTGGCCTACTCCATAAGTGGGCATTGCCCTACCTGTAGGAGAAGTTTGGTTTCATTGGTGTGTATATTTACTTACTTGTAGAGAAAACTATCCTTGTCTTTTAAAGATACTGAACAGGGGTCCAAAAACTCACCTTCGATTTTTCTCAAAGCAGCATTTTCGGGATAGCCCCCTTGTGCTTAAAAGCGACCTATTAACCCTATCCGTACGTCGTGTTTTACTATCGTATTCATACGACGTGGGGACATTTACTAGTTAATCTTTGCACAGCAGTCTGTCAAAATGATTTTTTGAGAAATTCTGAAAGTTTCAAAGAGATCTTCGTACTAGAAGTATTCTAAAATGTGAAGAATACAACCCCGGGGGTACAAAATGACCCCTGGGCGTAAGGACAGGGTTAAGTTTTGGAAGTCTAGGCTGCTATTTCCTCGCTGATTTTACCTTTGACTCCAGGTGACCCTCACCTCCTTCGATCGCAGATATCTCAACTTAAATTCTTGTCAGTTGTATGGGTTTTTCTCATCAAAAGCGTGACAGATAAAACTAAACAAGCTTTTTGAAAAGAATATACCATAACTCCATATATGCCCAATGATTCAAGAGCACCTGATTCTCTCGTGTCGTGACATATTTACCTTCCATCCGGTTTTCCTAGATGTCAACTTTGACGACAAGGGACGTTTTGACTGGCTCCACCTCTAGGTATGACCTGTTTGGCGTTCCCTCCATTTTTGCCTGCAAGAAAAAATTCCTGGTTAATTGTTGCCAGCTGATGTCATGATTAATTGAGTAATCGACTACACATCCTCGAGTAGATTTATCGTTTTTGCCTTGTGCACACCAAGAATAGGTCATTGTGATTGAGTGGTATACCTTGTATCATGTTGTATTATGTACGTGATGGTCTTGATGATTCCTGCCTGCTAGAAGCACTCGGGAGAATAGGCATAATATAGTCTATTACAAATTTTTGCTACCTTAAATTTGTCGTTCGCCATTGATTTTGACATCAGCATGACTTAGATTTATGTATAAAGTGTCGAAATCAAAAATATGTTTTCCCAGTTAACTGTTTTTACAAATAAGGTCAAAAGGTTATTTCTTTCTATCTGATACTTTTAAAAAAATACAAGAGCATAAATCAACAACCTTCTTCTTCTTCTTCTTCTTCTTCTTCTTCTTCTTCTTCTTCTTCTTCTTCTTCTTCTTCTTCTTCTTCTTCTTCTTCTTCTTCCTCTTCTTCTTCCTCTTCTTCTTCCTCTTCTTCTTCCTCTTCTTCTTCCTCTTCTTCTTCTTCTTCTTCT